AATTGTTTGTTGTGCAGAAACCAGAGCGTGACGAGTGGGGCAGCGGGCTGGAGGCCATGCAGTGTGCTCTGCAGCTGGAGAAGAATGTCAACCAGGCTCTGCTGGACCTGCACAAGCTGGCTTCTCAGCATAATGACCCTCATGTAAGTGGGAGTTGGAGGGAAGAGTTTGGGGTTAAAGACTGAACTAGTTCATGCTGTCTATGTTTGACAAATCATCAAATGTTAACTGTAGTTTGTTTTCCCAGCTGTGTGACTTCCTGGAGAGCCACTACCTGGATGAGCAGGTGAAGTCCATCAAGAAGCTGGGTGACCACATCACTAACCTCACCCGCATGGATGCCCACAACAACAAGATGGCAGAGTACCTGTTTGACAAGCACACTCTGGGTGACAAGAGCTAAATGCTGAGACGTAGAAGTGAGCCTGGAGTCAGCATGTTAACAACACAGGCTTTGAAGTAAACTCACTTCTGCTCCAGCTGATTTCTTTCCTGATTTCCTCACTTTAAAGCTGGCATCAGTTCTTGTATGTTGTGGTGTTTGTGTGAAATGTCACATGGAGCGATGGATGTTATCAGGGTATGGCTCTGCTTCTAAGCTGTCTGACATTTGGAAATGTTTCTGATCTGTTCATCTGAATAAACCTTTTGAGCTGGACCTTTGGTCTGTCTGCATCTGTGACTCATTTTATTATAGTTTAGATCAACTGCTCTGTCAGATGTATGCCTATTCAACAGACAATCAATGCATTTAAGTATAGTGTTTCAGTTCAAATGGCTTCAGACGGAATTTGTGAGATAGGCTGGTCCAACTATTTCAGAAACTGCTACAGGATTTCTCTACCCTGCCAGAAAGTGTTAAGAGGAAAAGTCCTGCGAGGTTGTTGAACCAAAATGCCTCTTTCACAACACTCAAATTGCTTCAGGTTCTTTAATCCCTTGTGGGAAATTATAATTTAATTGTAGCTTCAACATTGACAAGAACCACACATGCAAAACGATGTTAATTACTAATAAAGACAAAAGGCACATTCCATACAGCCATTATTTCAGAGTCTTGATGACATTAAAGCTTAACTCTTAACTTTTTCAGATTTAATGACTAGAAAACTGAGGTGATGGTTTTTGACCTCCAACGTGTATTTAGATACCTTGGCCCAGTATAATAAGCCAACTGTCACAAACCTGGGGCTGAAAGTGGACTCTGAACGTGACAGATTAAGGCAGTTGTAAAATCAAGCTTCTTGCAGCTCAGGCAGCTGTCACAGCAGCACTTTGAGACAGTGATCCACGTCTATGTTAGCACTCAGCTGGATTACTGTAATGCACTTTATATAGGGATCAGTGATTCATACATTACTCGTTTACACAGGGTGCAAAATGCTGCAGCTCGTCTTTTATCTGGCACTCGAAAGTTTGAATACATTTCCCCTATTTTAGCTTCACTTCACTGGCTGCCCATTCATTTTAGGATTCATTTAAAAATTCTTTTATTTGCTTTTAAAGCCCTCCATGGCCTAGCCCCATCTTATCTCTCTTAGCTGCTACAGCCTTATACACCCACCTGCTCTCTCAAGTCAGCTGATCAGCTGCTCCTGAATGTACCCAGGACTGAGCGTAAACCTCGAGGAGATCGTGCTTTTCCTGTAGCAGATCCAAAACTGTGAACGATCTGCCTTTAGAGATAAGACTCGTGATGGCAAGCTACGTTGTAGCCACAGCTGCCCTGGGGCGCACTGACAGAGGCGAGGCTGCCGGACACTGGCGCCACCGGGCCCTCTGACCCCACCAGTAGGCAAACACGGGGTTAGATCTTGCCCAAGGATATTTGGCATGCAGCCAGGAGGCAGCCTGGGATCGAACCACCGACCTTCTGATTAGTGGCTGACCTGCTCTGCCACCTGAGCTACAGCCCCCAGAAAGTGCTTTATAAATAAAGATGGATTGGATTGGACATCTTATAGTTTTTAGGTCAGTGTTGACAGGAAGCTGACTCTGGATCTGTCTTTAGCTCGTCTTTCTTATCTTGACCTCTGTGATGTCCTCCATTTTCACAGAATACTAAGCTATGAGATTGTTGTCTATACTGTGATAACGTTTTACTAACATTCACAAATCCTCATGCAGGATGATAACATGTAGTTATAAGACCTAAGTGAAAAAAAGGTGTCTCATATGGAAACAGAGGTTTCTGCTGGGTTGGCAGTGTTGGAACATACAATGGAAAAAAAAACAGAAACAGAAAAACCCATCATGAAAACAAGGCAATAATTTTGAGTACATTAATGGTTTATTTATAATTAATCACTGAGGAAATGTGCGGAAAGTTCATACCCAGCACAAATGTTCGCATCAGGTCAAATTTCATTTGACCTGATGCGAACATTTTACAAATTTACTTATGAATTAAATTACATTGAAAACTGACATGTAATTAAGTTTACTTTTAGTGTACTTATGTATCTTTTCCAAACATGGAAGCACATGCACTTTATTTTTTAATTTAATTTATAGTACTTTTTTTCTACTTGTGATGATTTAAAATTTTCTGATGAAATTACTTGATTTGTGTTTTTCTTTATAGAATGAACATTTCCCTTTTCTTAAAACATATAAAGATTTTTAAAGTTTTTTTCTGAGCTCATGGACAACGCCTCTTATGGTTATCCGATCCTGACTGGACAGTAGCGCTACAAACTGGATGAATATGATGACTATGATGTATCGCTGTTGGTCAAACTGCCCATTATTAAATAAAATAGTTAAAAACACTTTTAAAAGAAGGTCCACTTAAGACATAAAATGCAACATACACATAATGCAGCAGTAATAATATCTCAGAAACATCACATCATACTTATAGCTCTGACACTTTCAGTTCATTCTGTGATATTTTTAGTACAACTGATTTCTATGGAAAACAAGTGCTGCTTCCTTGATTGAGGAATGTGTTCCATAGTGATATTATCTGGTTTCAAACTCTTGCAGCTATGCTAAAAAATTGTTGGAATACCTTTGGTGTGTTTTAGAATGAACCTGTTCTGAGACATATTTTAAAGATGAGCCTTGTTGGTCTGCATGACTCCCTTTACTTAGACTTGGTTCCTCCTGCGCCAGATGGCGCATTGGGCGGCAAGGGATCATCAACGAGCTCGATTTGCAGCCACATCTTCAGCCTCGTCCCATGAAAGATCGACCACTTTCAGGTCCTCAATGAATGACCGTCTCCACGTCTGTTTTGTCGTCCGCAGACATGAAGACGGTCATTCATTGTGGACCTGAAAGCATGACTCCCACTGTGTGTGAAATGCCATGTTAAGCCAAAAGGCTTACATACTAATGCGCATAAAGATAATAAATAGTCTAAGATGAGTATGCCTTCTTGAGTGAGATGGTGATTGGCTGGTACAGAAACAAGAGGAAAAAAGAACTCAAATAAGAAGTTCTTGGGTTCCTGGTACAGATCAGCTAAAGTAAGTAAATCCAGGGGTAGGGCAGCACGGTGTCACGATGGCTGCCTCAAAGCAACAAGGTCCTGAGTTCAATTCTGACATCAGGCCAGGGTCTTTCTGTGTGGAGTTTGCATGTTCTCCGCGTGTTTGCGTGGGTTCTGTCCGGGTACTCCGGCTTCCTCCCACAGTCCAAAGACATGTAGTTAGCGGGGATAGGTTCGTTCGAAACTCTAAATTGAATGCGAGTGTGAATGGTTGTCTGTGTCTATGTGTTAGCCCTGCGACAGAGTAGCGACCTGTCCAGTTTGTAGCCTGCCTCTTGGGACACCTATGATAGGCTCTGAAAAAGCCCGTCCTAGGCAACCATGAAAAAGGATAAGCAGAAGAGAATGGATGAATTAAGTATGTGAGACTGCAGCACACTGAATAATCTTCAAATGTGTGTTACATACCTCTGCTGCGATGATATTCTTGAAGGTTTCATTGAAAAAGCTACTTTTACATAAATAGGCTGATATAAAAGTATATAAAAATACATTTCTTAGGTTGTTTTCACTCAGCAGTAGTAATGCTTTAGCCTGAGAAATTCCTGTCAACAGCACTGTGGTGTTGAGCAATGCAATAAAAAACACTTTGGTTGTAAGCACCATTATCAGCAGTTTTTGGATGTCATGTGTTACATCAGCTGAATCAGCTTCAGTTTGTGAAGGTTTTATGTACTAGGCCAGCGTTAACTCAAATAATCTAACTTTTATACAGCACAGTAAAGTCCTGAATATACCGTCCTGAGGCACCTGTCCTTTATATTTTGCCACAAAAAAGGACGTTCAAAGATGTACTGGAACATCTGCATACATACATGAAAATCTAGTTTTCACATTTTTACCGAGCTTTAAAGTCAATACTTTGGTATGAAAACCTTCATCCTACATATTCTATATACCACAGGCTGAACTCTCGTAGACAGCATTCTTGTCATCTCACTATGCAGTTTTTAGGAATAGTTCTCCAGGCTTCTTCTTAAAGAACGTGCAAAGCTCTTCTTTGTTGGCCTCTTTTTGTTCTGTACTCTTACACTGCTTCAGTAATGTTAAGGTCGAGCTTTGGGGAGGTCAGTCCATGGCTAAGAGGGATCATAATTCTATCACTTTGGCAAGCTCTCCAAAACCACTGGGTAAGGGACTCAGGGTCTCAGTTCCCTAGATGTTCACTGGTGTTGGTGTGGTGGGTCTGCCCCTGTGGAAATTCACCACCAGCTCCTGGTTTTCCCGTGTTGAACTGAAGATGGTTCTGCTGGCACTAGTCCACAAACTCCTGAGTCCACTGTCTGTATTCTGAGTCATCCTCACTTGTAATAAGGCCAACTATGGCAGAGTCATCAGGAAACTCTTGCAGATGACAGTCTAGGTTGGTAACTGTCTGCAGTGTAGAGAGTGAACGGGAATAGTGCTAGCACAGTTCTTTATAGGGCCCCTGTACTGAAGACCAGCCTGTCAGAAACACAGCCTTGCATCCTCACATACTGTGGGTAGCCAGTGCGATAGTCCAGTATCTATTGGGACAGGTAGTAGTCCACCCCTGACTGCTTGTCCCTCACAAGTCCAGGTTGGATGGGGTTAGCACTGGAGAAACTAGAGAAAGAACATTAGCCTAACTGTGCTTCCAGGCTTCTTCAGGTAGCACGATCTCGGTGCAGGAGGTAGATGATGACATCATCCACCCCAATGCTAGACTGATAGGCTTTTGCAGTGGATTCAATGAAGACCTAACCGGGGCTGAAGATGCTTCAGTACTAGCCTGTCAAGGGTCTTCTTCAGATGTGAGGTCAGTGCTACTAGCTTGTAGTTGCTGAGGTCTTTTGGACGTGTGATCTGTGGTAATGGTACCACATAGGTACTGAGTAAGAGCCGCTTAAATAGGCAGCCTAGTAACGTGGTACCGGAAGATAGATGTTGATGGGGGAGAAAATGTCTGTTTATGTCTGTTAATCTGTGTTATCTTCAGGACTGGTGGTAGATTCAACTAAAGAAATTGAAATAAAGTATGTCCTTTGTTATACACTGCTAGTAACAAAGTGCCTAAAGCTATAATTTAAAATAGGTTCTTTGCTAAGTTCTCTGTTAGGTGCAGACACGACTGATTCATCACTTGAGTTTTGTTCCTTTTTTTTTATGCATGAATCATTGCAGGAATGAAAATGAGTAAA